GTGCTCAGTCTTATGAAACCGAATGCATCCTAAATAGCACCCAATTTCCTATTTTAGTGCACTACTTTTGACCAGAGCCCTATGGGAATAGTAGCTCAAAAGTAGTGCACTAAATAGGGAATAGGGTGTCATTTGGGACGCAGTTTTATTTCTGGATCCCCTGGGGGGAGATAAGCTCAGTACTGAACGTATGCAAACCACCACACCTTGAGGACAGTTTGGACAATAAACATTTTCCTGACAGAAAATATATTGCATAATGAAATCACAAAGTGCTGCACTGACTGACCCACCAGTAGCTATATATCTAGATCAGTGGAGGCTGCTGAGGGGAGGACGGCTCATAATAATGGTTGGAATGGAGTCAATGGAGTGGTATCAAATACATCAAAGACGTGGTTAACATCTGGTTGATCCCACTCCGTTGACTCCATTCCAGACATTATTATAAGCAGTCCTCCCCTCAGCAGCCTCCACTGATCTAGATCATATGACACAGTATCTATCTAGACCATATGACACAGTGTCTATCTAGATCATATGACACAGTGTCTATCTAGATCATATGACACAGTGTCTATCTAGATCATATGACACAGTGTCTATCTAGATCATATGACACAGTGTCTATCTAGATCATATGACACAGTGTCTATCTAGATCATATGACACAGTATCTATCTAGACCATATGACCCAGTGTCTATCTAGACCATATGACACAGTATCTATCTAGACCATATGACCCAGTATCTATCTAGACCATATGACACAGTATCTATCTAGATCTATCTAAATCATATGACACAGTATCTATCTAGATCTATCTAGACCATATGACCCAGTATCTATCTAGACCATATGACCAGTGTCTATCTAGACCATATGACACAGTATCTATCTAGACCATATGACCCAGTATCTATCTAGACCATATGACCCAGTGTCTATCTAGACCATATGACACAGTATCTATCTAGACCATATGACCCAGTGTCTATCTAGACCATATGACCCAGTATCTATCTAGACCATATGACCAGTTCTATCTAGACCATATGACCCAGTATCTATCTAGACCATATGACCACAGTGTCTATCTAGACCATATGACACAGTATCTATCTAGACCATATGACCCAGTATCTATCTAGACCATATGACCAGTATCTATCTAGACCATATGACACAGTATCTATCTAGATCTATCTAGACCATATGACCCAGTATCTATCTAGACCATATGACCCAGTATCTATCTAGACCATATGACACAGTATCTATCTAGATCATATGACACAGTATCTATCTAGATCATATGACACAGTATCTATCTAGACCATATGACACAGTATCTATCTAGACCATATGACCCAGTGTCTATCTAGACCATATGACACAGTATCTATCTAGACCATATGACCCAGTATCTATCTAGACCATATGACACAGTATCTATCTAGATCATATGACACAGTATCTATCTGATCTATCTAGACCATATGACACAGTATCTATCTAGACCATATGACACAGTATCTATCTAGACCATATGACCCAGTATCTATCTAGACCATATGACACAGTATCTATCTAGACCATATGACCCAGTATCTATCTAGACCATATGACACAGTGTCTATCTAGACCATATGACCCAGTGTCTATCTAGATCTATCTAGACCATATGACCCAGTGTCTATCTAGACCATATGACCCAGTGTCTATCTAGACCATATGACACAGTATCTATCTAGACCATATGACCCAGTGTCTATCTAGACCATATGACCCAGTATCTATCTAGACCATATGACCCAGTGTCTATCTAGACCATATGACACAGTATCTATCTAGACCATATGACCCAGTGTCTATCTAGACCATATGACCCAGTATCTATCTAGACCATATGACACAGTATCTATCTAGACCATATGACCCAGTATCTATCTAGACCATATGACCCAGTATCTATCTAGACCATATGACACAGTATCTATCTAGATCATATGACACAGTATCTATCTAGCCATATGACACCAGTATCTATCTAGACCATATGACCCAGTATCTATCTAGACCATATGAACCCAGTGTCTATCTAGACCATATGACCCAGTATCTATCTAGACCATATGACCCAGTATCTATCTAGACCATATGACACAGTATCTATCTAGATCATATGACACAGTATCTATCTAGATCATATGACACAGTATCTATCTAGACCATATGACACAGTATCTATCTAGACCATATGACCCAGTGTCTATCTAGACCATATGACACAGTGTCTATCTAGACATATGACACAGTATCTATCTAGACCATATGACACAGTTCTATCTAGATCATATGACACAGTATCTATCTAGACCATATGACCCAGTTCTATCTAGACCATATGACCAGTATCTATCTAGACCATATGACCAGTGTCTATCTAGACCAATGACACAGTGCTATCTAGACCATATGACACAGTATCTATCTAGACCATATGACCAGTTCTATCTAGACATATGACACAGTATCATCTAGACTATGACCCATGTCTATCTAGACCATATGACCAGTATCTATCTAGACCATATGACCAGTATCTATCTAGACCATATGACCAATCTATTAGACATGAACGTTTACTAGACCAGCAGTGCAAGCAACGTCATCAGCCATATGACACAACGGTTAATCCCCGCGAGATGATTTTTTTTTTGTAAAGTATAAAAATGCGCTGCAATTTTTCAATAAAATAAACTGCTGTTCCAATTGCGTCCACTGGATGGCGCATTAGCAATTGTGTTAAGCAAGCAAACTGTTTATAACCGGGGCAGAGCAAGTAGGTCAAGCACGTGCAGCCAATGAGCTACTTTGTTTTGCCCGCGATATTTATTACGGCTTCTACTTTTAACATTATGTGCTTTGGCACCCTCATTGCCCCAATATGTCTCTGTCAAAAAAGAGAAAAGTGGACGCAGAGTGCAGAGTGTTCCAAGAAAAACTGTCATCCTATTTATTCACGGAATTGAATGGGAAAGCTGTATGTTTGGTGTGTTCAGAGCATGTTGCAGTGCTGAAAGAATATAACCTTCGTCGCCACTATGTGAGTCTTCATGCCGACAAATATGACAACTTTCAAGGACAGCGGAGATGAGAGAAGGTGAATGAACTGTTGGCGGGTCTGAAGAAACAGCAGTCTGTGTTTACTCACAGCCGAGACATCAGTGACGCTGCAGTGAAAGCTAGCTACCTCATTGCTAATGAAATCGCAGTGGCTTCAAAACCATTTAGTGAGGGTGAATTTGTAAAAACATGCATGATGAAGGCAGCGGAGATTATGTGCCCTGAAAAGCGGCAGGCTTTTGCAAATATCAGCCTGACAAGAAACAGTGGATTTGGACAGCCAGTTGAAGCAAAAAGTAAAGTCATTTATTGCGTTTTCGGTTGCAATTGATGAAAGCACGGACATTACAGATGTTGCACAACTGGCCATTTTCATCCGCGGAGTTGATGACACATTGACCGTCACCGAGGAGTTCGTGGAGTTGGTGCTGATGACAGATACAACGACAGCAGCTGATATTTTTACCGCACTCGTCGGCGCGCTGGACAGGGTCGGAGTGGACTGGTCCCGCGCTGTCAGCCTGGCTACAGATGGTGCGCCCTCAATGATCGGGAAAAAAGCAGGCGTTGTGACAAAGTTCAGAGAGAAAGTGCAATCTGCAAATGGAGGACGTGATTTTTTGACTTTTCACTGTATTTTGCACCAGGAGGCTTTGTGTTGCAAGTCATTAAAGATGGATAACGTCATGAAGGTGGTCATCCAAACTGTTAATTTCATCCGATCCAGAAGCCTGAATCACCGTCAGTTTGACAGCCTTCTCAGAGAGAAAGACCACATCTATGGCCTGCCATACCACACTGAGGTAAGATGGTTAAGCCGAGGTGCTGTGCTGAGGCGTTTCTTTGATTTACGAGAAGAAATTGAACAGTTCATGGAAGAAAAGGGCAAACCAGTGTTAGAATTTCATTCCGCAGAATGGATGCAGGACCTTGCATTTATGGTGGATGTTACAGAGCACCTGAATAACTTGAACAAACAGCTGCAAGGGCGCAACAAAGTTGTCACGCAGTATTATGACAGCATACGTTCTTTCAAGTTGAAGCTGTCATTGTGGGAGACGCAACTTGCCGGTGGTGATGCAGCTCACTTCCCCTGTCTGAAAAATTTGTGCGCGACCCAACATGTGGCAGACATGAAGCGGTTCAAAGATAAAATAACGGGACTGTTAAGGGAGTTTGAGCAATGCTTTCAGATTTATGTTGATGTTTTTATGTTGATGTGCTATTGTTTTTAATTGATTTTATTTGTATATTTAACCTATTCTTGACTCTGTGGTTCTTGCACTTGTTTGGGGAACAGGATTTCATTATTTTTATCTACATTTCTGCCTGAGAAATGACACCCTGATATAGTTCTGTGATCTGTGAAACAGTTCTGTTAATCACTGAGGCATTGTGTGTTTGTGTGTTCTTTTTCTTTAGAATTTTCAAATAAACTTGACGTGTTTTATGATTAATAGTGATGTTGTGCTTGTACTATTTTGGACACACTGTCCTCAGGCTCCAGCTTTATGTTGTATGTTGATCGTATTAAAACAAAGAAAACAATCTGAAGTTGTTGTTTTTAAGTTATATATACCATGATTTTTCCGGTCCGGCCCACTTGGGAATAGATTTTCCTCCATGTGGCCCCTGAGCTAAAATGAGTTTGACACCCCTGATCTAGACCATATGACACAGTGTCTATCTAGACCATATGACCCAGTGTCTATCTAGATCAGCTGGGTTCAGGCCTTATCCGTAATATTTTTCTTTCCCAACCATCTGCATAATGTGGGGCTGTAGCCTCTATGTCTGAAACAAAAACGAGCTTTTTGGTCTTAAAAATATAGGGTTAGGTATAAGATAAGAAGTGTGTTTAAGGTTAGGGTTAAGTTTAAAATATGATTTTATTATTGCAGAACTGCCGGCTATCCGGCCCTCAGTAGGTCCTGCCCTCTACTGGCGACGGAAAGAACAGCAGCTAGAAATGGTAATTTATTACATGATAAATACTCTTAACTCTTCAGATGGAATACAATATTTGTAAATATACAATAATATAAAAATGAGCATCTAAGTAAAATAAGGCTATTTCTAAATCCATAGTTCCAACAGGAAATCCTTAAAGTTATCATGCTTATCAAGTAGGGTCATAGTTACAGAAAACACTGTTCAAGTAGATGTATTAAATACTAAGACATAAGTAAATAACAACATTAGGTAACACTAAGTAAGGACTTACATTCATAAACTACTCTCTTACTGAGAATCTTAAGAGTATAGTATATTTTAGTGGGTTGACCTAATAGAGTCTTTCTTCCATTACTGAAAACTGGCGTGTGGAAAAATGACCTGAAAATAATTTAAAAAGACAAATGTAGACAAAACAACAATTTCATGATGACAGGTGTATCATCAGTATTTCTTTCCATTGAGAATTGATAACGTAACCTAACCAGATAAAAATCCTGAACATGTTACATGACTTGGTATGCGGTGAAGTCAGTGGTTTGAAGCATTGGTGTGCAGTGATGTCAGCGACAGTGCTTTTCCAGCATGACGTCAGTGGGGTTTACCCAGACGGTTTACAAAAGGACCAGGATGACGTCACCATCAGCACTTAGCTAGAATCTCCTGGCAGCTCTTGTACACTTTGACCAGGCAGTTCAGCCTCGGTTTTGAACTCTGAAAGAGGAATGAAAAGGTAGACTATAATCAGACAGGTGAATGTAGAGGTGAGAAGGTCTTCAGCACAGGGTTAAAACTACATCAGTTCCAAAGTTTTTATTTTATTCGTTTTTTCATGTGAAGCACATTGCATTGCTTTCCATGTCTGAAATGTGATGCATAAACTAAGCTTGATTTGATTTAGTTAAGATACAGACATGCATTTTAAACAGTATGTTAGATCAATAACGCTCCCTGAAGTTCACCTGAAACAGAGGGACCACGCTAGACACTGCATCTGGCTCTGAGGGATCCTTCAGGAGGATGCACAGGTAGTAGATGACTCTTTGCTGAAACAAATGGGTTGAGAAAAGTCATCACAGGCACATCACAAGATACTCTATAATAATATATACCATTTAGCAGACGCTTTTATCCAAAGCGACTTACAGTCATGCGTGCATACATTTTTGACTGTCCAGCCAATCATCAACGGTTAAGATAAATTATAGCAGGATCCATCTAGCTTCATCTGAACAAGATTTAGTCAACAACTTTAGTGATGATGAAATCAACTGTGGACATGTAGCTTCATTGGCTGGATGAAACAAATAGCTCAATATTCTTCTATTTCCTCACCATGTGAATAGCTTCATTGATTACTATGTCTTTGATCTTGCCCATCTCTATGAAGTCTGTTGACTCCCTGCCGGAGGCGTAGCTAGAGGACACCTGGACACCCAGGGAACCAATGATGAGCAGCGTCTCATGGTCCACCTTCACAAAGTGGATGTGAACCATCATACCGACCAGGGTGATGATTATGGCACTGGAGAGAACGGCTGTGTTCTGGAGAGAGAAGAAGAGATTGGCATTGAAGTAATCTCTGTCGCTAGACTCAAGGTGCTCCGCATACAGCGACTGTGAGAAGAGACTAGCATTGCACTGATTGACCTACAACAGGCACACAACAAAAAAGAAATACTTAGTTATAGGTGTAGGTTAAATTATTAAATGATTAATCTAGCTTAGTGGGTTACCAACACTGGCCCTAAAGCGCTAAAGGGGCACGCTTTTGTTCTAGCCCAGCACTAACACACCTGATACATCTACACAACACCCTGATGAGCAGTTGGTTGAAACAGATGTGTTAAGTGTTGGGCAGGAACAAAAGCCTGTACACCCAGTAGCTTCCAGGAGCAGGATTGTTGCGCACTGACGCAGGTGCCAGTGGATATCTAGAGGGAGTTCCAAATGGCACCCTATACCCATTTGACCCTATTCCTTATATAGTGCACTACATTTCACGAGAACCCCATGGGCCATGGTGAAAAGGGTGCCATTTGGGACTCAAGCCAGCCCTAGTGTCCTTACCTCAGTGACGAAGAATATGATGTAGGCCGTTAGCCAGACAGCGCAAGTGTACACCATCACTCTGCCTATGGATACTTTAGCCGAGCTAACCGTGAACTCCCGGCAGAATCCCGAGTGCCTTTGACACTCCAGAGAGATGGCCTTGCCGTCGATGTCGGTGTAGGTTTCATCTTCCATACTGTACTGCTGGTCACCGTTCTGCATAAGATCCGGATTATTGGATATCAATAGCTGGAACTAGAGTGATGTCTAGCTAGCTATCTTCTAACTACTGTAGGCTAAATCTAACGTATTCGGTGAGTAGTCAGCTACTAGCTAGCTAACAATGTGGAGACTGAAAAAAAACCGAAACAATAATGAACATATTTTCATTCGCTGCTGGTTTACTTCAAAGCCAGCAAATAAATGAATCCGGAATGTACTTCCTCTCAGTATTGACTCTTAGTTGCAAAAAAAAAACTAGGACAACATCGATGGGAAAAAACCTCTGTTGACCTAACTGGCAAGCTACAAACTTTGAGGTGCATTGTGGGGAATGACATCGATTCAAAGCAACAACACTACGAGTATTACTACACTTCCCAGGATGCTTCGCGGTCTCTAACCTTTGACCTCTGGATGAAAACAAGCCGATCAGCTGATGAAACTGTGAACAACATCTAGCTGTTGGGCAGCGAAATTATCCTAGCTAACAAGATATAAAAAAAAAAAATAACGGCATCTTTGTGATTGACACTGCATACCATGTTTGTCTATTAAAAGAGTATTGCGTTTTTTTGTGTGTAGAAGGTGAAGGAACTTTCTTAGGTTACGAAACAACTGGGCAAACTAGCTAGCTGCTTGTACTAGGCTACTAGCTAGGATAATCTTGTTGGCTTGATGGGGGTTGGCTCTTGAGAAATGGGTCGTTTCAGTTGATGTAGAGTAACTGACAAATATGTAAGTGTTTTCTTTTGATATCGGCGGATTTGTTGATGTTTTTGTACAGAGTTACCGTTGCCAATTTCTACTGTCAAATTTGCTTAGCCAACAACAACAGCTAAACAAACACTAGGCTATCTAACGTTAGCTAATAACAATGTTATTGCTGGTTGACAGCTATCGATTGCTTGCAGGTGGGGCTAGCTGTATGTCTGGACATGTATGCAGGAAATCGTTGTGATTGTTTTGCTGACAGACAGGCAGATCTGTAATTTAGTCATTTGATGACATATGGCTATGTCAAAGTGATCTGTCACAGTTCATTTTGAATATTGATCTGCTAAGTGTTTTGGGGAATATAGAAGAGCCACTACCATAAAGAAGAAAACATTTAAATATTCAACACCTTATATACTATAGCCATAAACCTATTCTACATCAGTTTGGTTTCGCAATCCTAGTGCAGTATTAGACTCTTCAGCCACAGTTCCTCAGGCACAGGTTATCGGCTTAAACGCGCACTTGTTAGCAGCACCACACCGAGGGTGATTATTATGAGTGGTCAAGGTCCGTCAGTAGATAAGGGGATAAACACCATCCTGGTGTGTCAGGAGAGCTACGCTTGCGGCGGATCGGACGAGGCCGCGTTCGAATGCGACGAGTGCGGAAGCCTGCAGTGCGTCCGCTGCGAGTTCGAGCTCCATCGCCAGGAACGCATGAGGGACCATGACAGGGTCCGCATCGCCTCCGGACACGTTCCATTCTGTGACTCCTGTAAGAGGGACAACAGCGGCTGTGGGGTGAACGGGGGTAGGCTGAGGGCGGTGGTGCGCTGCCAGGGCTGTAAGATTAACCTCTGTCCGGACTGCCAGAAGCGGACCCACAGCGGGGTGAATAAGAGGAAGCACCCCGTGACCCCCTACCCTCCTCCGGTGAAAGCCCAGGATAGTAGCCTGGATGGAGGGGAGATGGAGGCCCTCAAAGCCAAACTGGAGAAGGTGTGCAGTTTCTTACTGGTGGATGAGAAGGAGGAGATTCAGGTGAGTGATGTATTGTGTGCATCCCAAATGGCACCCTATTCCCTATATAGTGTACTTATTTTGACCAGGCCCCATAGAGTCATAAACAGCCCTCTAACCGTAGACACTAATCACTAGGAACTTGTGTAGATCTGAAAAGATTGGATGATAGATATAAGCCAGTTTGCAATGGACAGGCTATCTGTATGAAACGCCAAGGAGAAATATCTTAAATAATTATCATTCGATTGGGATTGCAGGACTGCCGGCTGTCCAAGCAAATATTGGTTAAGAAGGCCAATAATAGTGTGAGTGCCAGTCTTTGTGCAATCATGCCAACTCCTTGTCACTCATTGACATGTCAATGAGCAATGGAGTTGGCAAGCGCACAAACAGATCTGGTACCAGGCCGATACTCTGTTTGGTGAGGAAAGTACTTTTACCACAGACTGACCTCTGTTGTATTGAATCTCTAGTTGAAGGATGAGGAAGACTTTGTGCGCCGGCTGGACTGCAGGCCAGAGGAACTCCTCAAGGTGGTGTCTATATTTGGAAACACGGGGGAGGGGAAGTCCCACACCCTGAACCATACCTTCTTCCTGGGGCGGGAGGTGTTCCAGACGTCCCCCACCCAGGAGTCATGCACCGTGGGAGTCTGGGCTGCCATGGACCCCATCCACAGGGTGGTGGTGATCGACACAGAGGGACTGCTGGGGGCAGGTACGGTATTAAACATGTCTAAATGGGGCACAGGAGCTGGACAAATACACCGAGCAAAGCAGTGTGTGCTTATTTACTGCTGATGGTGGATAGAAACAACAGCATGGCTTCGACTGACATCTGATTGGTCACAAAACCTTGTATCAAAATACTAGACTAGAGTATCACTTGTCTGTTGAGGGGAAAGCTGTGTGTCTGTTGAGGGGAAAAGCGGTGTGTCTGTTGAGGGGAAAGCGGTGTGTCTGTTGAGGGGAAAGCTGTGTGTCTGTTGAGGGGAAAGCTGTGTGTCTGTTGAGGGGAAAGCGGTGTGTCTGTTGAGGGGAAAGCGGTGTGTCTGTTGAGGGGAAAGCGGTGTGTCTGTTGAGGGGAAAGCTGTGTGTCTGTTGAGGGGAAAGCGGTGTGTCTGTTGAGGGGAAAGCGGTGTGTCTGTTGAGGGGAAAGCGGTGTGTCTGTTGAGGGGAAAGCTGTGTGTCTGTTGAGGGGAAAGCTGTGTGTCTGTTGAGGGGAAAGCTGTGTGTCTGTTCAGGGGAAACATTTACATTTTAGTCATTTAGCAGACGCTCTTAACCAGAGCGACTTACAGGAGCAATTAGGGTTAAGTGCCTTGCTCAAGGGCACATTAACGTCATTTAGCAGACGCTCTTAGCCAGAGCGACTCACAAATTGGTGCGTTCACCCTATAGCCAGTGGGATAACCACTTTACAATTTGGGGGGGGGGGGGGGGGGGGTTAGAAGGAATACTTTATCCTATCCCAGGTATTCCTTAAAGAGGTGGGGTTTCAAATGTCTCCGGAAGGTGGTGAGTGACTCCGCTGTCCTGGCGTCGTGAGGGAGCTTGTTCCACCATTGGGGTGCCAGAGCAGCGAACAGTTTTGACTGGGCTGAGCGGGAGCTGTGCTTCCGCAGAGGAAGGGGAGCCAGCAGGCCAGAGGTGGATGAACGCAATGTCCTCGTTTGGGTGTAGGGACTGATCAGACCCTGAAGGTACAGAGGTGCCGTTCCCCTCACTGCTCCATAGGCAAGCACCATGGTCTTGTAGCGGATGCGAGCTTCAACTGGAAGCCAGTGGAGTGTGCGGAGGAGGGGGGTGACGTGAGAGAAAGCTGTGTGTCTGTTGAGGGGAAAGCAGTGTGTCTGTTGAGGGGAAAGCTGTGTGTCTGTTGAGGGGAAAGCGGTGTGTCTGTTGAGGGGAAAGCTGTGTGTCTGTTGAGGGGAAAGCTGTGGTGTCTGTTGAGGGGGGAAAGCGGTGTGGCTGTGTCTGTTGAGGGGAAAGCGGTGTGTCTGTTGAGGGGAAAGCGGTGTGTCTGTTGAGGGGAAAGCTGTGTGTCTGTTGAGGGGAAAGCGGTGTGGTCTGTTGAGGGGAAAGCGGTGTGTCTGTTGAGGGGGAAAGCGGTGTGTCTGTTGAGGGGAAAGCTGTGTGTCTGTTGAGGGGAAAGCTGTGTGTCTGTTGAGGGGAAAGCTGTGTGTCTGTTGAGGGGAAAGCTGTGTGTCTGTTGAGGGGAAAGCTGTGTGTCTGTTCAGGGGAAAGCTGTGTGTCTGTTGAGGGGGAAAACAGTGTGTCTGTTGAGGGAAAGCGTGTGTTGTTGAGGGGAAGCGGTGTGTCTGTTGAGGGGAAAGCGGTGGTGTTTTGAGGGGAAAGCGGTGTGGGCTGTTGAGGGGAAAGCTGGGTTTTTCGTTGAGGGGGAAAACGGTTTTGTTTTGTTGAGGGGAAAGCGGTGTGTCTGTTGAGGGAAAGCTGTGGGTCTGTTCAGGGGAAAGCGGTGTGTCTGTTGAGGGGAAAGCGGTGTGGTCTGGTTTTAGGGGAAAGCTGTGTGTCTGTTTGAGGGGAAAGCGGTGGGGTCTGTTGAGGGGGAAAACGGTTGGTGTCTGTTGAGGGAAGGAAAGCTGTGTGTCTGTTGGGGGAAGCTGTGTGTCTGTTGAGGGGAAAGCGGTGTGTTGTTGAGGGAAGCGGTTGGGCTGTTGGGGGAAAAGCGGTGTGTCTGTTGAGGGGAAAGCGGTGTGTTGTTGAGGGAAGCTGTGTGTCTGTTGAGGGGAAAGCCATTGTGTCTGTTCAGGGGAAAGCTGTGTGTCTGTTCAGGGAAAGCGGTGTGTCTGTTGAGGGGAAAGCGGTGTGTCTGTTGAGGGGAAAGCTGTGTGTCTGTTGAGGGGAAAGCGGTGTGTCTGTTGAGGGGAAAGCTGTGTGTCTGTTGAGGGGAAAGCGGTGTGTCTGTTCAGGGGAAAGCTGTGTGTCTGTTCAGGGGAAAGCGGTGTGTCTGTTCAGGGGAAAGCTGTGTGTCTGTTGAGGGGAAAGCCTAAAGGCCTTTGATTAAGATCACGTTGGGAGCACTAACCAGTCAGCAGACATCTGCTAACAATTCCCCTTCCTCTCGACTGTTTCCCACCTAGGATCCAATCAGGGCCAGCGTACCCGGCTGCTCCTCAAAGTCCTTGCCGTCTCCGACCTCGTCATCTACCGTACCCACGCCGACCGTCTCCACGAGGACATGTTCAGTTTCCTAGGTGACGCTTCGGAAGCCTATCTGAAGCACTTCACCAGGGAGCTGAAGGCCACCACGGCCCGGTGTGGCCTGGACGTCCCTCTGTCCACTCTGGGACCAGCTGTTATTATCTTCCATGAGACCGTCCACACCAAACTACTGGGATCAGGTAGGTGGTTCTGGTTGGCGTTTAGCCTGAGTGCCAGTCTGTTTGTGCTGCCATGCCAACTCCTTGTATGTCATGCCAATGGAGTTCTCAAAAGCACAAACAGATCTAGGACCAGGCAAGTCAGCACAATCAGTTATCAGTAAAGTTAGAATGGACCTGAACCATGTATACAGAGACAAACTGCAGGGATCAGGTTGGGGATCAGGGGCTGAGACAGAGACAAACTGCTGGGATCAGGTTGGGGGTCAAAGGTCAGGGGCTGAGACAGAGACAGAGACAAACTGCTGGGATCAGGTTGGGGATCAGGGGCTGAGACAGAGACAAACTGCTGGGATCAGGTTGGGGGTCAAAGGTCAGGGGCTGAGACAGAGACAGAGACAAACTGCTGGGATCAGGTTGGGGATCAGGGGCTGAGACAGAGACAAACTGCTGGGATCAGGTTGGGGGTCAAAGGTCAGGGGCTGAGACAGAGACAAACTGCTGGGATCAGGTTGGGGGTCAAAGGTCAGGGGCTGAGACAGAGACAGAGACAAACTGCTGGGATCAGGTTGGGGATCAGGGGCTGAGACAGAGACAAACTGCTGGGATCAGGTTGGGGGTCAAAGGTCAGGGGCTGAGACAGAGACAGAGACAAACTGCTGGGATCAGGTTGGGGATCAGGGGCTGAGACAGAGACAAACTGCTGGGATCAGGTTGGGGGTCAAAGGTCAGGGGCTGAGACAGAGACAGAGACAAACTGCTGGGATCAGGTTGGGGATCAGGGGCTGAGACAGAGACAAACTGCTGGGATCAGGTTGGGGGTCAAAGGTCAGGGGCTGAGACAGAGACAAACTGCTGGGATCAGGTTGGGGGTCAAAGGTCAGGGGCTGAGACAGAGACAGAGACAAACTGCTGGGATCAGGTTGGGGGTCAAAGGTCAGGGGCTGAGACAGAGACAGAGACAGAGACAAACTGCTGGGATCAGGTTGGGGATTAGGGGCTGAGACAGAGACAAACTGCTGGGATCAGGTTGGGGGTCAAAGGTCAGGGGCTGAGACAGAGACAGAGACAAACTGCTGGGATCAGGTTGGGGGTCAGGGGCTGAGACAGAGATAGAGGCCGTAGCAGGATTGTCGTCAATTCAGTTTTCAGTTTAGAAAGTGGAAATAACTTGTCATAGCTTAGTGCATTCACCTCTACTTACAATCATCACTTTCTAACATCAAGACTGTCTTCCCCTCTTCTCATCTTCTAATCAACACTCTCAGATCTACCCCCGAGCATAACAAGAACACCCCACCCTCTAGAAAAGCGGAGGAGCGCTCCCCACGCGTAGGAGCACGAAGCGACAAAACGTAACGTGAGGCTCTCTCTCATCCACCTCTCCCTCTACATCTCTCTCTCCCTCTCTCTCCTCTACATCTCTCTCTGAAACGCCAAGGAGAAATATCTGAAATAATTATCATTCGATTCGGATTGCAGGACTGCCGGCTGTCCAAGCAAGGGCTATCCCCCTCTCTGCCAATCCGCGCCTGCAGCCCCCGCGCCCGACAGCTCAGCGCTCCCCGGCCCTCCGACAGCAGCGCCAGCGCCCCGCCACAGCCGCCCCAACAGTCCCGTCTACAGCGCGCTCCACTCCCGAGCGACAGCGGCCGCCCCCGACCTCCGGACAGCGCGCTATCCCCGACCGCCGCCCAACTCGTCTCCACGCTCTCCTCTAAACGATCTCTCCCAACTCTCCTCGTACACCTCTCCCATCTCCGTCTACAAGCGTCCCCTCTACAGCGCGACGATCCACGAGCCCTCGGCCGACAGCGCTCCGCACCCCCAGCTACGAGTCTCCACACACCTCGAATCTGCCCCGGTCGCGCAGCGATCTCTCCCCCCAGCATCAGATAGGACGAGAGAGCTTGCAGCATCTCATAAGATGAATAGCCCCGCTCTCCCCTTCTATCTCTCTTATTCCTCTTACCCTCTCTCCTCTACATTTCTCTCTCTCTCTCTCTCCCTCTCTCATCTACATCTTCTCTCTCTCCCCCTCTCTCCAGACAAGCCATCAGAGTCTGCAGAGCGTCTGCTCCAGGAGCGTTTCAGGAAGCTGGGTCTGTTTCCCGAGGCCTTCAGCTCCATCCAGTACCGCGGGACTCGAACCTACAACCCCCCGACAGATTTCAGTGGTCTGCTGCGGAGCCTGGAGCAACAGCTAGACAACAACACCACCCGCTCACCACGCTCCGCCAGCGTCATATACAGGGCCCTGCAGGTTGGTGTCAGCGTTATATACAGGGCCTTGTAGGTTGGTGTCAGCGTTATATACAGGGCCCTGCAGGTTGGTGTCAGCGTTATATACAGGTTCTTGCAGTTTGGTGTCAGCGTTATATACAGGGCCTTGCAGGTTGGTGTCAGCGTTATATACAGGGCCCTGCAGGTTGGTGTCAGCGTTATATACAGGGCCTTGCAGGTTGGTGTCAGCGTTATATACAGGGCCCTGCAGGTTGGTGTCAGCGTTATATACAGGGCCTTGCAGGTTGGTGTCAGCGTTATATACAGGGCCTTGCAGGTTGGTGTCAGCGTTATATACAGGGCCCTGCAGGTTGGTGTCAGCGTCATATACAGGGCCCTGCAGGTTGGTGTCACGTTATATACAGGGCCCTGCAGGTTGGTGTCAGCGTCATATACAGGGCCCTGCAGGTTGGTGTCAGCGTTATATACAGGGCCCTGCAGGTTGGTGTCAGCGTTATATACAGGGCCCTGCAGGTTGGTGTCAGCGTTATATACAGGGCCCTGCAGGTTGGTGTCAGCGTTATATACAGGGCCCTGCAGGTTGGTGTCAGCGTTATATACAGGGCCCTGCAGGTTGGTGTCAGCGTTATATACAGGGCCCTGCAGGTTGGTGTCAGCGTTATATACAGGGCCCTGCAGGTTGGTGTCAGGCGTTATATACAGTGCCCTGCACTTTGGTGTCAGCGTCATATACAGGGCCCTGCAGGTTGGTGTCAGCGTCATATACAGGGCCCTGCAGGTTGGTGTCAGCGTTATATACAGGGCCCTGCAGGTTGGTGTCAGCGTTATATACAGGGCCCTGCAGGTTGGTGTCAGCGTTATATACAGGGCCCTGCAGGTTGGTGTCAGCGTTATATACAGGGCCCTGCAGGTTGGTGTCAGCGTTATATACAGGGCCCTGCAGGTTGGTGTCAGCGTTATATACAGGGCCCTGCAGGTTGGTGTCAGCGTTATATACAGGGCCCTGCAGGTTGGTGTCAGCATTATATACAGGGCCCTGCAGGTTGGTGTCAGCGTTATATACAGGGCCCTGCAGGTTGGTGTCAGCGTTATATACAGGGCCCTGCAGGTTGGTGTGTGTGTGTCTCTCTGTGTGTGTGTGTGTGTGTGTGTGTGTGTGTGTGTGTGTGTAAACAATTCATGAACCTGTCAACACCTGTTGCAAAGCTCTCGCTTTCTCTCTCTCTCTCTCTCTCCCTCCCTACTCTCTCCCCCCCACCTCTCTTCCTCCCTCCCTCCCTCTCTCCCCTCTAGGCCCTGAGTGAACGTTTCAGTGGGGATATCCCAGAAGAGCACCTGGCCAGTAACTCTTTCTTCCCTGATGAGTACTTCACCTGCTCCTCTATCTGTCTCAGCTGTGGGTGTGTATCTGACCGTGCCTCCATCTGTGTCCTCTGTTTCCAGTTCTGCTTTCTATTACAGTTCAATATTGACCTTTTTGTGTTATAATTGACATGGTAAATTAGCCTTAGCTGTGTAATGGCTCACTCTAACTCCACTCAGTTTACACTAATGCTTTCTATTATTGGTATTTTGTTATTACATGGTTAATGTGTATTACTTTGGAGTTGCATAGTTATTACATATCGGTAGTAATTACCTGATTATTACACGAAATAGCATCTCAAACAGGTTTGAACAATAATATCCTAGTTTTCTACGTAAGTCTTCAGCCGTAATGATTCTCTGCCTTCCTGTCAGGTCTGGCACAGTGATAACGTAGTAATTAAACACTGGCTGTAAGAACAGCACAGTGATAACGTAGTAATTAAACACTGGCTGGAAGAACAGCACAGTGATAACGTAGTAATTAAACACTGGCTGTAAGAACAGCACAGTGATAACGTAGTAATTAAACACTGGCTGTAAGAACAGCACAGTGATAACGTAGTAATTAAACACTGGCTGTAAGAACAGCACAGTGATAACGTAGTAATTAAACACTGGCTGTAAGAACAGCACAGTGATAACATAGTAATTAAACACTGGCTGTAAGAACAGCACAGTGATAACGTAGTAATTAAACACTGTGTACCAACCCTCTTGCTGTCAGGTCTGGCTGTTAGAACAGCACAGTGATAACGTACAGTGAGGGGAAAAAAGTATTTGATCCCCTGCTGATTTTGTATGTTTGCCCACTGACGAAGACATGATCAGTCTATAATTTGAATGGTAGGTTTATTTGAACAGTGAGAGACAGAATAACAACAACAAAAAATCTAGAAAAACGTCAAAAATGTTATAAATTGATTTGCATTTCAATGAGGGAAATAAGTATTTGACCCCCTCTCCATCAGAAAAATGTCTGGCTCCCAGGTGTCTTTTATACAGGTAATGAGCTGAGATTAGGAGCACACTCTTAAAGGGAGTGCTCCTAATCTCAGCTTGTTACCTGTATAAAAGACACCTGTCCACAGAAGCAATCAATCAATCAGATTCCAAACTCTCCACAATGGCCAAGACCAAAGAGCTCTCCAAGGATGTCAGGGACAAGATTGTAGACCTACACAAGGCTGGAATGGGCTAAATACTTATTTCCCTCATTAAAATGCAAATACATTTATAACATTTTTGACATGCGTTTTTCTGGATTTTTTTGTTGTTATTCTGTCTCTCAATGTTCAAATAAACCTACCATTAAAATTATAGACTGATACTTTCTTTGTCAGTGGGCAAACGTACAAAATCAGCAGGGGATCAAATCCTTTTTTCCCTCACTGTAGTAATGAACCACTGTGTACCAACCCTCTTCCTGTCAGGTCTGGCTGTAAGAACAGTATGAACCATCTGAAGGAGGAAGTGGACCACGAGGCTAAACACCGCTGTCACTACTCTGCTCAGAATGACAACCGTATCTACACTTGTAAGGTAGGAACACACACGTACACACACATTCTCTCTCACACACATACATACACACACACTCTCTCACACACACACATACATACACACACACACACACACACACACACACACACACACACACACACACACACACACACACACACACGTACACACACACGTACACACACACACACACACACACACACATACACATACATACACACACACTCTCTCACACACACACATACATACACACACACACACACACACACACACACGTACACACACACACACACACACACACACATACACATACATACACACACACTCTCTCACACACACACACACACACACACACACGCGCACACACACGTTAGTTAGTCTTCTGAACTGAATGTCTGTACTCCGCTCCTCAGGCGTGCTATGAGGGAGGGAAGGAGGTGATTGTGGTTCCCAAGACGACAGCCTCCTCTGACTCTCCCTGGTTTGGTCTGGCCATCTACGCCTGGTCAGGGTGAGTACTGGTCTATCAGAAAGTAGTGCACTACATAGGGAATAGGGTGCCATTTGGGACGCATCCCTGGTCTGGTCCTTCAGAATGAAGGGAGGAAGCTATTTAGTCTGTATCATCGTCTGAAAGGCTGTGGAATAAAGGAGAATAATGATACAATCACCTTTAAGAGGTTTGAGACCAACAGGTAGAAGCTGTTTAAACGCTATCTGCTGTCGCTGGCCGAACTGTAGTGTGGTTCTCTTGTATGTGAAGTAGTGGTGTTGTTGTTGTTTACAGGTATGTGATAGAGTGAACTGAAGTAGTGGTGTTGTTGTTTACAGGTATGTGATAGAGTGAACTGAAGTAGTGGTGTTGTTGTTTACAGGTACACTGGGGGGAAAAAGTATTTAGTCAGCCACCAATTGTGCAAGTTCTCCCACTTAAACAGATGAGAGAGGCCTGTAATTTTCATCATAGGTACACGTCAACTATGACAGACAAAATGCGAATGTTTTTTCCAGAAAATCACATTGTAGGATTTTTTATGAATTTATTTGCAAATTATGGTGGAAAATAAGTATTTGGTCAATAACAAAAGTTTCTCAATACTTTGTTATATACCCTTTGTTGGCAATGACACAGGTCAAACGTTTTCTGTAAGTCTTCACAAGGTTTTCACACACTGTTGCTGGTATTTTGGCCCATTCCTCCATGCAGATCTCCTCTAGAGCAGTGATGTTTTGGGGCTGTCGCTGGGCAACACGGACTTTCAACTCCCTCCAAAGATTTTCTATGGGGTGGAGATCTGGAGACTGGCTAGGCCACTCCAGGACCTTGAAATGTTTCTTACGAAGCCACTCCTTCGTTGCCCGGGCGGTGTGTTTGGGATCATTGTCATGCTGAAAGACCCAGCCACGTTTCATCTTCAATGCCCTTGCTGATGGAAGGAGGTTTTCACTCAACATCTCACGATACATGGCCCCATTCATTCTTTCCTTTACACGGATCAGTCGTCCTGGTCCCTTTGCAGAAAAACAGCCCCAAAGCATGATGTTTCCACCCCCATGCTTCACAGTAGGTATGGTGTTCTTTGGATGCAACTCAGCATTCTTTGTCCTCCAAACACGACGAGTTGAGTTTTTACCAAAAAGTTCAATTTTGGTTTCATCTGACCATATGACATTCTCCCAATCCTCTTCTGGATCATCCAAATGCACTCTAGCAAACTTCAGACGGGCCTGGACATGTACTGGCTTAAGCAGGGGGACACGTCTGGCACTGCAGGATTTGAGTCCCTGGCGGCGTAGTGTGTTACTGATGGTAGGCTTTGTTACTTTGGTCCCAGCTCTCTGCAGGTCATTCACTAGGTCCCCCCGTGTGGTTCTGGGATTTTTGCTCACCGTTCTTGTGATCATTTTGACCCCACGGGGTGAGATCTTGCGTGGAGCCCCAGATCGAGGGAGATTATCAGTGGTCTTGTATGTCTTCCATTTCCTAATAATTGCTCCCACAGTTGATTTCTTCAAACCAAGCTGCTTACCTATTGCAGATTCAGTCTTCCCAGCCTGGTGCAGGTCTACAATTTTGTTTCTGGTGTCCTTTGACAGCTCTTTGGTCTTGGCCATAGTGGAGTTTGGAGTGTGACTGTTTGAGGTTGTGGACAGGTGTCTTTTTATACTGATAACAAGTTCAAACAGGTGCCATTAATACAGGTAATGAGTGGAGGACAGAGGAGCCTCTTAAAGAAGAAGTTACAGGTCTGTGAGAGCCAGAAATCTTGCTTGTTTGTAGGTGACCAAATACTTATTTTCCACCATAATTTGCAAATAAATTCATTAAAAATCCTATAATGTGATTTTCTGGATTTTTTTTCCTCAATTTGTCTGTCATAGTTGACGTGTACCTATGATTAATATTACAGGCCTCTCTCATCTTTTTAAGTGGGAGAACTTGCACAATTGGTGGCTGACTAAATTCTTTTTTCCCCCACTGTATATGATAGAGTGAACTGAAGTAGTGGTGTTGTTGTTGTTTACAGGTATGTGATAGAGTGAACTGAAGTAGTGGTGTTGTTGTTGTTTACAGGTATGTGATAGAGTGAACTGAAGTAGTGGTGTTGTTGTTTACAGGTATGTGATAGAGTGAACTGAAGTAGTGGTGTTGTTGTTTACAGGTATGTGATAGAGTGAACTGAAGTAGTGGCGTTGTTGTTTACAGGTATGTGATAGAGTGAACTGAAGTAGTGGTGTTGTTGTTGTTTACAGGTATGTGATAGAGTGAACTGAAGTAGTGGTGTTGTTGTTTACAGGTATGTGATAGAGTGAACTGAAGTAGTGGTGTTGTTGTTGTTTACATGTATGTGATAGAGTGAACTGAAGTAGTGGTGTTGTTGTTTACAAGTATGTGATAGAGTGAACTAAAGTAGTGGTGTTGTTGTTTACAAGTATGTGATAGAGTGAACTGAAGTAGTGGTGTTGTTGTTTACAAGTATGTGATAGAGTGAACTAAAGTAGTGGTGTTGTTGTTTACAGGTATGTGATAGAGTGAACTAAAGTAGTGGTGTTGTTGTTTACAGGTATGTGATAGAGTGAACTGAAGTAGTGGTGTTGTTGTTTACAGGTATGTGATAGAGTGAACTGAAGTGGTGGTGTTGTTGTTTACAGGTATGTGATAGAGTGAACTGAAGTAGTGGTGTTGTTGTTGTTTACAGGTATGTGATAGAGTGAACTGAAGTAGTGGTGTTGTTGTTTACAGGTATGTGATAGAGTGAACTGAATTGGTGGTGTTGTTGTTTACAGGTATGTGATAGAGTGAACTGAAGTAGTGGTGTTGTTGTTGTTTACAGGTATGTGATAGAGTGAACTGAAGTAGTGGTGTTGTTGTTTACAGGTATGTGATAGAGTGAACTGAAGTAGTGGTGTTGTTGTTTACAGGTATGTGATAGAGTGAACTGAAGTAGTGGCGTTGTTGTTTACAGGTATGTGATAGAGTGAACTGAAGTGGTGGTGTTGTTGTTTACAGGTATGTGATAGAGTGAACTGAAGTGGTGGTGTTGTTGTTTACAGGTATGTGATAGAGTGAACTGAAGTAGTGGTGTTGTTGTTTACAGGTATGTGATAGAGTGAACTGAAGTGGTGGTGTTGTTGTTTACAGGTATGTGATAGAGTGAACTGAAGTGGTGGTGTTGTTGTTGTTTACAGGTATGTGATAGAGTGAACTGAAGTGGTGGTGTTGTTGTTTACAGGTATGTGATAGAGTGAACTGAAGTAGTGGTGTTGTTGTTGTTTACAGGTATGTGATAGAGTGAACTGAAGTAGTGGTGTTGTTGTTGTTTACAGGTATGTGATAGAGTGAACTGAAGTGGTGGTGTTGTTGTTTACAGGTATGTGATAGAGTGAACTGAAGTAGTGGTGTTGTTGTTTACAGGTATGTGATAGAGTGAACTGAAGTAGTGGTGTTGTTGTTTACAGGTATGTGATAGAGTGAACTGAAGTAGTGGTGTTGTTGTTGTTTACAGGTATGTGATAGAGTGAACTGAAGTGGTGGTGTTGTTGTTTACAGGTATGTGATAGAGTGTCCCAACTGTGGGGTGATCTACAGAAGCAGGCAGTACTGGTATGGGAACCAGGACCCAGTGGACACGGTGGTCAGAACTGAAATAAAACACATCTGGCCTGGGGTAAGAACAGGAGGAGCTAGGACTTCACATTGGTTAATCAAATCTCCCCACTCTTGCTAAATTTTGCATGCCTTCTCAAACAGCTACAACTGTATATGCATTCGCACATCAAGTCTTCTCTTGAGTTGGGCTCAGGGATGGAACAACTGTTGAACATCTGAGCTTGTGGTTGTTTGTGGGGGAAGGGTGGGGAGTGTGTGTGTGTGTGTGTGTGTGTGTGTGTGCGTGTGTGTGTGTGTGTGTATCCCACATCTATTGCTATGGGGTGTTAGGGACAATACTGGATGAATAAAAAAAATGTAATTTTTGTAATGTAATGTTGTAGGTAACAATCCTTCGTATGAACTGCCAACATTATTACACATATTATTCCTTAATTGTGGAAACTAATTAAGAAATGCAAGATTTGTTTTATATATATATATATATATATATATATATATATATATATATACAGTACCAGTCAAAAGTTTGGACACACCTACTCATTCAAGGGTTTTCTTTATCTTTACTATTTTCTACATTGTAGAATAATAGTGAAGACATCAAAACTATGAAATAATACATATGGAATCATGTAGTAACCAAAAAAGTGTTAAACAAATCAAAATCAATTTTCTATTTGAGTTTCTTCAAATAGCCACCCTTTGCCTTGATGATAGCTTTGCACACTCTTGGCATTCTCTCAACCAGCTTCACCTGGAATACTTTTCCAACCGTCTTGAAGGAGTTCCCACATATGCTGAGCACTTGTTGGCTGCTTTTCCTTCACTCTGCCGTCCGACTCATCCCAAACCATCTCAATTGGGTTGAGGTTGGGGGATTGTGGAGGCCAGGTCATCTGATGCAGCACTCCATCACTCTCCTTCTTGGTAAAATAGCCCTTACACAGCCTGGAGGTGTGTTGGGTCATTGTCCTGTTGAAAAACTAATTATAGTCCCACTAGGCCCAAACCAGATGGGATGGCATGTCACTGCAGAATGCTGTGGTAGCCATGCTGGTTAAGTGTGCCTTGAATTCTAAATAAATCACAGACAGTGTCACCAGCAAAGCACCCCCACACCATAACACCTCCTCCTGCGTGCTTTACGGTGGGAACTACACATGCGGAGATCATCCGTTCACCCACACCGCGTCTCACAAAGACACAGCAGTTTGAACCAAAAATCTCAAATTTGGACTCCAGACCAAAGGACAAATTTCCACCGGTCTAATGTCAATTGCTTGTGTTTCTTGGCCCAAGCAGGTTTCTTCTTCTTATTGGTGTCCTTTAGTAGTGGTTTCTTTTCAGTAATTCGACCATGAAGGCCTGATTCACAGTCCCCTCTGAACAGTTGATGTTGAGATGTGTCTGTTACTTGAACTCTGTGAAGCCTTTATTTGGGCTGCAATTTCTGAGGCTGGTAAATCTAATGAACTTATCCTCTGCAGCAGAGATAACTCTGGGTCTTCCATTCCTGTGGCGGTCCTCATGAGAGCCAGTTTCATGATAGCGGTTGATGGTTTTTGCGACTGCACTTGAAGAAACTTTCAAAGTTCTTGAAATTTTCCGGATTGACTGACCTTCTTGTCTTAAAGTAATGATGAACTGTCGTTTCTCTTTGCTTATTTGAGCTGTTCTTGCCATAATATGGACTTGGTCTTTTACCAAATAGGGCTATCTTCTGTATACCACCCCTACCTTGTCACAACACAACTGATTGGCTCAAACACATTAAGAAGGAAATGAATTACACAAATTAACTTTTAAGAAGGCACACCTGTTAATTGAAATGCATTTCAGGTGACTATCTCATGAAGCTGGTTGAGAGAATGCCAAGAGTGTGCAAAGCTGTCATCAAGGCAAAGGGTGGCTATTTGAAGAATCTCAAATAGAAAATATATTTTGATTTGTTTAACACTTTTTCGGTTACTACATGATTCCATATGTATTATTTCATAGTTTTGATGTCTTCACTATTATTCTACAATGTGAATTTTTTTACACAAATAAAGAAAAACCCTTGAATGAGTAGGTGTGTCCAAACGTTTGACTGGTAGTGTAGATAGCAATAAAAGCAGTACCATAGAGGCACAGAATACGTAGAGGAAAAACAAAAAGAAATGGAGGAACTTATTCAAGAAAGATCAAGTGTAATATATTATAAAAATTAAGCGAACTGGATGGGATATCAAGAAAAATGCACCATTAAAAAAAACACAAAAAATCTTCAATGTAGAAATGCTACCAAAAATAATTGACTGACACTTGTTAGAGAAATGAGTCACCCATAATTCACCTAAATATATTTTGAAAGAGGAAGCAAAGAACTTTAAGCATATGCTTTCATTTCAGTCTCCTCCATCTTCACTAGCCGAAGTTAATTGTAAGGATTTTTTTCCTATTAATAATGTACAATTAACAGCTGTACAGAAAGACTCATGTGAAGGCCAAATTACAGAGGAGGATCTTCTTGATGCAATTAAAGCCTTTAAGTCCGGGGAAACTCCAGGGCTGGATTGTATACCAGTCGAGGTATACCAAACCTTTTTTGATGTACTCAGAGGACCGTTATTAGCATGTTTTAACCACTCCTATAAAAATTGTAGATTATCAGATACCCAACAAGAAGGTCTGATTTCATTATTACTGAAACAGGACCCAAGTGGTAAATATAAAAATCCAGTCCATAAAATAAAAATTGGAGGCCCCTTAGACTTCAGTGTTGTGATGCAAAAATTCTAGCAAAGTTCACAGCGCATAGAATTGAAAAGGTATTGTCGGATATTATTCATCCATTTCAGACAGGTTTTTTACATGGACGATACATTGGAGATAATATGAGACAAGTACTGGAAACAATAGAACACTATGAAAAATCTGGGAAACCAGGCCTGGTATTCATAGTTGACTTTGAAAAGGCTTTTGATAAAGTATGACTGGAATTTATATATAAATGCCTGGAATATTTCATTTTTTGAGAGTCTCTTATACAATGGGGTAAAGTTATGTAGAGTAACCCTAGGTGTAAAATAGTAAATAATGGCTATTTCTCAGAAAGTTTTAAACTGTCAAGAGGAGTGAAACAAGGCTGTCTACTATCTGCATATCTATTTATTATGGCCATCGAGATGTTAGCTATTAAAATCAGATCCAACAATGATATCAAGGGCCTAGAAATCCAGGGCTTAAAAACAAAGGTGTCATTGTATGCTGATGATCCATGTTTTCTTTTTAAATCAACAATTTGGATCCCTCCACAGCCTCATAGATGATCCAGATAGTTTTTTCTAACCAAATTATGATAAGTGTACTGTATTACGTATTGGATCACTAAACAATACAACTTTTACATTACCGTGTAGTTTACCAATAAAATGGTCTGACAGTGATATGGACGTACTCATTATTAATATCCCGAAAGAAATGACCTCGCGACAATACATTTTAATAGAAAGTTGGCAAAAGTAGATAAGATCTTGCTACTGTGGAAAGGAATATACCTGTCTATTTGTGGAAAAATCACCCTGATTAACTCTTTAGTCATATCCCAGTTTACCTATTTGCTTATGGCCCTACCTACACCTAGCGACTTGTTTCTTTAATTATATGAGCAACATTTTTTCCATTTTATTTGGAACGGCAAGCCAGACAAAATTAAACGGGCCTATTTACAGTGGGGAGAACAAGTATTTGATACACTGCCGATTTTGCAGATTTTCCTACTTACAAAGCATGTAGAGGTCTGTAATTTTTATCATAGGTACACTTCAACTGTGAGGAACGGAATCTAAAACAAAAATCCAGAAAATCACATTGTATGATTTTTAAGTAATTAATTTGCATTTTATTGCATGACATAAGTATTTGATACATCAGAAAAGCAGAGCTTAATATTTAGTACAGAAACCTTTGTTTGCAATTACAGAGATCATACGTTTCCTGTAGGTCTTGACCAGGTTTGCACACACTGCAGCAGGGATTTTGGCCCACTCCTCCATACAGACCTTCTCCAGATCCTTCAGGTTTCGGGGCTGTCGCTGGGCAATACGGACTTTCAGCTCCCTCCAAATATTTTCTATTGGGTTCAGGTCTGGAGACTGGCTAGGCCACTCCAGGACCTTGAGATGCTTCTTACGGAGCCACTCATTAGTTGACCTGGCTGTGTGTTTCGGGTCGTTGTCATGCTGGAAGACCCAGCCACGACCCATCTTCAATGCTCTTACTGAGGGAAGGAGGTTGTTGGCCAAGATCTCGCGATACATGGCCCCATCCATCCTCCCCTCAATACGGTGCAGTCGTCCTGTCCCCTTTGCAGAAAAGCATCCCCAAAGAATGATGTTTCCACCTCCATGCTTCACGGTTGGGATGGTGTTCTTGGGGTTGTACTCATCCTTCTTCTTCCTCCAAACACCGCGAGTGGAGTTTAGATCAAAAAGCTATATTTTTGTCTCATCAGACCACATGACCTTCTCCCATTCCTCCTCTGGATCATCCAGATGGTCATTGGCAAACTTCAGACGGGCTTGGACATGCGCTGGCTTGAGCAGGGGGACCTTGCGTGCGCTGCAGGATTTTAATCAATGACGGCGTAGTGTGTTACTAATGGTTTTCTTTGAGACTGTGGTCCCAGCTCTCTTCAGGTCATTGACCAGGTCCTGCCGTGTAGTTCTGGGCTGATCCCTCACCTTCCTCATGATCATTGATGCCCCACGAGGTGAGATCTTGCATGGAGCCCCAGACCGAGGGTGATTGACCGTCATCTTGAACTTCTTCCATTTTCGAATAATTGCGCCAACAGTTGTTGCCTTCTCACCAAGCTGCTTGCCTATTGTCCTGTAGCCCATCCCAGTCTTGTGCAGGTCTACAATTTTATCCCTGATGTCCTTACACAGCTCTCTGGTCTTGGCCGTTGTGGAGAGGTTGGAGTCTGTTTGATTGAGTGTGTGGACAGGTGTCTTTTATACAGGTAACGAGTTCAAACAGGTGCAGTTAATACAGGTAATGAGTGAAGAACAGGAGGGCTTCTTAAAGAAAAACTAACAGGTCTGTGAGAGCTGGAATTCTTACTGGTTGGTAGGTGATCAAATGCTTATGTCATGCAATAAAATGCAAATGAATTACTTAAAAATCATACAATGTGATTTTCTGGATTTTTGTTTTAGATTCCGTTCCTCACAGTTGAAGTGTACCTATGATAAAAATTACAGACCTCTACATGCTTTGTAAGTAGGAAAACCTGCAAAATCGGCAGTGTATCAAATACTTGTTCTCCCCACTGTATATAATGAATATGAATTCGGAGGGCAGAAATTATTAAATATTAAAGCATTAGACCTCTCACTAAAGGCTTCAGTCATACAAAAGTTATACTTAAATCCGAACTGGGTCTCTAGCAGATTAGTAGGAATGTCTCACGCCATGTTAAAGAATGGCCTTTTTCCCTTTATTCAGATTACAACCTCTCACTTTCGGGTATTTGAAAATGAAATCATCTCCAAAATATCTCTATTTTTAAAACAAGCCATAGAAAGTTGGTTGCAATTTCAGTTTAATCCACCAGAAAAGACAGAACAAATATTAGAACAAAGATTATGGTTAAAACAAAATATACTAATTGATTAAAAAACAATATTTTTGGAAAGAATGTTTAAAAAAAGGTATCATCTTTGTAAATTCTATCATAAATAGGACTGGTGAAGTTATGTCACACATGCAGCTAACAAAATATATGGAAATGTCTGCTCTAATCAATAGTACAACCAACTAATTGCAGCATTACCGCAAAAATGGAAGAGGAAAGTGGAAGGGGGAGAAAGTAAGGAACTTGTCTGTCGGCCCTGCATTAAAGACCATAATTGCCTAAAGAAAATTGTGATAAATAAAAAAGTATACCAGTTTCATTTTAAGGACCAAAAAAATTGACAGCTGTGCCATATAGAAAGCAAAATAGTTGGGAAGAGATTTTCGATGTACCGATTCAATGGCACATGGTTTATGAACTGATACACAAATCAAAGCTGGTTTCAAAACTTAGAGTTTTACAATTTCAATTATTATACAAAATTCTTGCAACCAATAATTTTATTTATTTATGGGGGATACAACCATCCCAGTTCTGCAGATTTATAATTTATATATCCCCCATATTTATTTTAAATATGGGGGATTGGAAATGATGCAAACAATTACAGTGATGGAAGCCACAATCTATCTGCAATATTAAAGCTGATCTACCCCTAAGAAAATAAATTTTAAAAAAGAACAAGAGATGGGAGGGGAGGGGACCAGGACCCAGTGGGACTGAGATACAACCCATCTGCCCTGGGGTAAGAACAAGAGAGGGTTCCCCTACTCATCCCATGGCCCATATTCATAAAGCGTGAAAGAGTAGGAGTGCTGATCTATGAATCAGATTCCCCCCTGTCCATGTAATCTTATTCATTGTGATCTAACAGGCAAAAGTGATCAGCACTCCTACTCTGAGAGGCTATGGCCCCTGCTCTGGCTTATTCTAGCCATTTTAGAAGCTTTACACAGTGACAGGAAGTCTAGAATGTAGAATGTAGAATGTAGCATAATGAGCTATACATACTAACTGACTTCTCTCTCTCTCTCTCTCTCTCTCCTCTCTCATCTCTCCTCTCTCTCCTCTCTCTCTCTCTCTGTATCTTTCTCTCTCTCTCATCTCTCTCTCTGTCTCTTCTCTCTCTCTCTCTCTCTCTCTCTCTCTCTTTCCTCTCTCTGTCTGTCTCTCTTCTATCTCATCTCTGTCTCTATCTCTTCTCTCTCTCTCTAGTCTTCTCTCTCTCTCTCTCTCTCTCTCTCGTCTCTCTCTGTCTCTCTCTTCTTCTCTCTTCTCGTCTCTCTCTTCTCTCTCTCTCTCTCTCTCTCCCTCTCCCTCCTTCCACTCTCTCTCCCCCTCCCCTTTCTCCCTCTCCAGTCGGATGGTTTTCTGAAGGACAACAACAATGCAGCTCAGAGACTGTTGGACGGTGTGAACTACATCTCCCAGAGTGTGTCAGAGCTCAGTGTGAAACCTGCCAAAGCTGTCACTTCCTGGCTCACCGACCAGATCGCCCCGGCCTACTGGAAACCCAACTCCCTTATCTTGGTACGTGGTCCTCACAGCCATCTGGTCATACTGATATAGACACAGCATGGATCCAACATGGCTGACATATGCATTTTCAGAACCAACATGGAGATGCAGTGACTCACTGGCAATGAAGGTTATTGGAGGGTTGTAGTGCAGAAGTTTTTAAAGTGACTGTTTACACCGTCCATCTTTGTCTTGGATTTTTGTTTCTCTGTTTATAAGGAGTAGCGTCATGCTCCTATGACTGTGGAACAAGTTATCCATTGCTCCAGACTGTGGGAAAGTTGACATCCATGGGGCTTGGATATTGTAAAGACTATCCATGCTCCTATGACTGTGTAAAGGCTATCCATTGCTCCTATGACTGTGTAAAGACTATCCATTGCTCCTATGACTGTGTAAAGGCTATCCATTGCTCCTATGACTGTGTAAAGACTATCCATTGCTCCTATGACTGTGTAAAGACTATCCATTGCTCCTATGACTGTGTAAAGACTATCCATTGCTCCTATGACTGTGTAAAGACTATCCATTGCTCCTATGACTGTGTAAAGACTATCCATTGCTCCTATGACTGTGTAAAGACTATCCATTGCTCCTATGACTGTGTAAAGACTATCATTGCTCCTATGAATGTGTAAGGGGGACTATCCATTGCTCCATATGAACGGTGTTATCGACTATCCATTGCTCCTATGACTGTGTAACGACTATCCATTGCTCCTATGACTGTGTAAAGACTATCCATTGCTCTATGACTGTGTAAAGACTATCCATTGCTCCTATGACTGTGTAAAGACTATCCATTGCATCCCTATGACTGTGTAAAGACTATCCATTGCTCCTATGACTGTGTAAAGACTATCCATTGCTCCTATGACTGTGTAAGGCTATCCATTGCTCCTATGACTGTGTAAGACTATCCATTGCTCCTATGCTGTGTAAAGAACTACCATTGCTCCTATGACTGTGTAAAGACTAGCCTTGCTCTTATGACTGTGTAAATACTATCCATTGCTCCTATGACTGGTGTAAAGGCTATCCATTGCTCCATGACTGTGTAAAGACTATCCATTGCTCCTATGACTGTGTAAAGACAGCCATTGCTCCTATTTAAACATATGCTTGTTTTTTTTTGGGGTAAAGACTATCCATTGCTCCCATGACTGGTAAAGGCCACCATTTCTCTTTTGATGTGTAAAGACTATCCATTGCTCCTATGACTGTGGAAAGACTATCCATGGCTCCTATGACTGGTGTAAAGACTATCCATTGCTCCTATGACTGTGTAAAGACTATCCATTGCTCCTATGACTGTGTAAAGACTATCCATTGCTCCTATGACTGTGTAAAGACTATCCATTTCTCTATGACTGTGTAAAGACTATCCATTGCTCCTATGACTGTGTAAAGGACAGCCATTGCTCCCATGATGTTTTAAAGACTATCCATTGCTCTATGACTGTGTAAAGACTATCCATTTCTCCTATGACTGTGTAAGACTATCCATTGCTCCCATGACTGTGGGAAAGACTATCCATTGCTCTATGATGTGTAAAGACTATCCATTGCTCCTATGACTGTGTAAAGACTATCCATTGCTCCTATGACTGTGAAAGACTAGCCATTTCTCCTATGACTGTGTAAATACTACCATTGCTTTCTATGACTGTGTAAAGACTATCCATTGCTCCATGACTGTGTAAAGACTATCCATTGCTCCTATGACTGTGTAAAGGATATCCATTGCTCCTATGACTGTGTAAATACTATCCATTGCTCCTATGATGTGTAAAGACTATCCATTGCTCCTATGACTGTGTAAAGGACATCCATTGCTCCTATGACTGTGAAAGACTATCCATTGCTCTATGACTGTGTAAAGACTATCCATTTCTCCTATGACTGTGTAAAGACTATCCATTGCTCGTATGACTGTGTAAAGGGACTATCCATTGCTCCTATGACTGTGTAAAGGCTATCCATTGTCTATGACTGTGTAAAGACTATCCATTGCTCCTATGACTGTGTAAAGACTATCCATTGCTCTTATGACTGTGTAAAGACTATCCATTGCTCCTATGACTGTGTAAAGGAATATCCATTGCTCCTATGATGTGTAAGACTATCCATTGCTCTATGACTGTGTAAAGACTATCCATTGCTCCTATGGGCTGTTTAAAGACTATCCATTGCTCCTATGACTGTGTAAAGATATCCATGCTCCCATGACTGTGTAAAAGACTATCCATTGCTCCTATGACTGTGTAAAGGGCTAGCCATTGCTCCTATGATGGTGTAAAGACTATCCATTGCTCCCATGACTGTGTAAAGACTATCCATTGCTCCTATGACTGTGTAAAGACTAGCCATTGCCTTATGGGCTGTGTAAAGGGCTATCCATTGCTCTATGACTGTGTAAGGCTATCCATGCTCCTATGACTGTGTAAAGACTATCCATTGCTCCTATGACTGTGTAAGACTATCCATTGCTCCTATGACGTGTAAAGACTAGCCATTGCTCTTATGACTGTTGTAAAGACATCCCTTGCTCCTATGACTGTGTAAAGGGCTATCCATTGCTACCCATGACTGTGTAAATACTATCCATTGCTCCTATGACTGTGTAAAGACTATCCATTGCTCCTATGACTGTGTAAAGGCCAGCCATTGCTCCTATGACTGTGTAAAACTATCATTGCTCCTATGACTGTGTAAAGACTATCCATTGCTCCTATGACTGGTAAAGACTACCATTGCTCCCATGACTGTGTAAAGGCTAGCCATTGCTCTATGACTGTGTAAAGACTATCCATTGCTCCTATGACTGTGTAAAGACTATCCATTGCTCCTATGACTGTGTAAAGACTAGCCATTGCTCCTATGACTGTGTAAAGACTATCCATTGCTCTATGACTGTGTAAAGACTATCCATTGCTCCTATGACTGTGTAAAGACTATCCATTGCTCTTATGACTGTGTAAAGACTATCCATTGCTCCTATGACTGTGTAAAGGCCTAGCATTGCTCCTATGACTGTGTAAAGACTATCCCTTGTACCATGAATGTGTAAGACTATCCATGTCATGGAGGTTGGTACGACTATCCCTGCTCCTATGACGTGTAAAGACACCATTGCCTTGGGATGTGTAAAGACTATCCTTGCTCCTAGACCCGTGTAAAGACACCATTGCTCCTATGATGGAAAGGACTAGCTTGCTCTCTATGACTGTGAAATGCCTGCTCTTATACCGTGTAAAGGACATCCATTGCTCCTAGGACTGTGTAAAGACATCATTTTTTCTTTAAGCTATCCATTGTCCTCTGTGTTGTTAAATATCATCTCCTAGAGGTGCTATCCATTGCTCCATGACGTTGTAAGGCCAGCCATGCTCTATCCGGAGACTACATATCCTATGACTGGTGTAAAGACTACCATTGCTCCCAGAGTGTAAAGGGCTATCATTGCTGTATGACTGTTAAGACTATCCATTGTCCTAGATGTTAAATATCCATTGCTCCTATGACTGTGTAAAGACATCCCTTTCTCCTATGACTGTGTAAAAACTACCATTGCTCTTTTGGACTGTGAAAGACTAAAATTTCTCCCATGACGTGTAAGACTATCCCTTGCCTATGCGGTAAATATACATTGCTCTTTTGACTGTGTAAAGACATCCATTGTCCCATGACGGTGTAAAGACTATCCCTTTCTCCTATGATGTGTAAAGATATCCATTTTCTCCTATGACGTGTAAAGCTTCCATTTCTCCTAGATGGTAAAGGCTATCATTGTCCATTTTGTTAAGGCCAGCCATTTCCCATGAGTGTAAAGAATCCATTGTCTTATGACTGTGTAAAGAATCCATTTCCCTTTCTGTTTTAAAGGGAATCATTTCCCTATGATGTGTAAAAAAATCCTTGCTCCCATGACTGGGGTAAAGACATCCCTTTCTCCCATGACGTGTAAAGGCCCGCCATTGCCCCATGACTGTTTAAAAAATATCCATTTCTCTAGAGGTAAAGACTACATTTTCTTGATGGTGTAAAGATATCCCTTGCTCCCAGAGTGTAAAAGATATCCATTGCTCCTATGACTGTGTAAAGGCCAGCCATTGCTCATATGACTGTGTAAAGACTATCCTTTGCTCCTATGACTGTGTAAAGACTATCCATTGCTCCTATGACTGTGTAAAGACATCCATTGCCTAGACTGTGTAAGGGCTATCCATTGCTCCTATGTGTGCTTGTGTTTTGAGCTAGAATACCGTCCTTCGTTCTCTGTAACAGAAATGTGCTAAGTGCATGAGTGTTCCAGACAACGATATAAGCACCATGCCGTCCTTGCGGAGAGGGCTTCTGTGACGCTGTCTCCATGAACGCCCTGTTCCAGAGAGGGGCTAGGGGGCTTCCCCCGTACGGGTCGTGATGCCTGCTTCCATAACCGGGGCATCTCAGAAGGTAAGGACTTGTATATCTAACATGATGTTTCTACATTATCCTATGATGTCCCACTAGGTCTTTTAAATAATACTCTTAGATTTAATTTACATTTAGTCATTAGGCAGACGCTCTTATCCAGAGCGACTTACATTTAGTGAGTGCATACATCATTTTTTATACTGGCCCCCCATGGGAATCGAACCCACAACCCTGGCGTTGCAAACGCCATGCTCTACCAACTGAGCTACATCCCTGCCGGTCATTCCCTCCCCTACCCTGGACGACGCTGAGCCAATTGTGCGCCGCCCCATGGGTCTCCCGGTCGCGGCCGGCTACGACAGAGCCTGGATTCGAACCAGGATCTCTAGTGGCACAGCTAGCACTGCGATGCAGTGCCTTAGACCACTGCGCCACTCGGGAGATAAACCTGGATGCCATAGGAACTAAGGCTGGGAATTGCCAGGGACCTCACAGTACGATATTATCATGATACTTACTGTAGGTGCCGATACGATACTGTAGTGTATGGATTGCGATTCTATACTGTGATTTTATCGCGATTCAATGTTCCAAACATATTGCTCACCATATGTCTGCAACAGAGAGACAAGAGAGAGCCATGAGAAAAACAAGTTTTGATCTGTCAGGGAAATAAAAGGTGCAGGTACATCCAACTAGCACAAAAATAATGTTGCAATATTGTCAAAACCATTTAATATATCGTCAAAAATAATATCCCGATATTTAACTGTATTGATTTTTCCCCCATCACTAATATGAACATCAAATTTAGTCGGGAAATCGTGTTTCCTGCTCTTACTATCTGATTTACATATCTTATAAATTAATATGTGAAACATAAATCTGTGGTTGTTTTGTCCTTACTTCTTTCTGTGTGTGTGCGTGTGTGTGTGCGTGTGTGTTGTAGAGCTGCTGGATGCAGCGTTGGAGGAGGAGGAGGGAGGGACACTCAGTAGGAGAGTAGGAGAGGCTGTTCAGAATACACTAGGAGCTGTGGTCACCGCTACATACATCCCTCTGGGTGAGTACTGTAGTCTAGACGACTCTGTGGTCACCGCTACATACATCCCTCTGGGTGAGTACTGTAGTCTAGACTACTCTGTGGCCACCGCTACATACATCCCTCTGGGGTGAGTACTGTAGTCTAGACTACTCTGTGGTCACCGCTACATACATCCCTCTGGGTGAGTACTGTAGTCTAGAACGACTCTGTGGTCACCGCTACATACATCCCTCTGGGTGAGTACTGTAGTCTAGACTACTCTGTGGTCACCGCTACATACATCCCTCTGGGTGAGTACTGTAGTCTAGACGACTCTGTGGTCACCGCTACATACATCCCTTCTGGGTGGTACTGTAGCTAGACTACTCTGTGGTCACCGCTACATACAATCCCTCTGGGTGAGTACTGTAGTCTAGACGACTCTGTGGTCACCGCTACATACATCCCTCTGGGTGAGTACTGTAGTCTAGACTACTCTGTGGTCACCGCTACATACATCCCTCTGGGTGAGTACTGTAGTCTAGACGACTCTGTGGTCACCGCTACATACATCCCTCTGGGTGAGTACTGTAGTCTAGACTACTCTGTGGCCACCGCTACATACATCCCTCTGGGTGAGTACTGTAGTCTAGACTACTCTGTGGTCACCGCTACATACATCCCTCTGGGTGAGTAATGTAGTCTAGACGACTCTGTGGTCACCGCTACATACATCCCTCTGGGTGAGTACTGTAGTCTAGACTACTCTGTGGTCACCGCTACATACATCCCTCTGGGTGAGTACTGTAGTCTAGACGACTCTGTGGTCACCGCTACATACATCCCTCTGGGTGAGTACTGTAGTCTAGACGACTCTGTGGTCACCGCTACATACATCCCTCTGGGTGAGTACTGTAGTCTAGACGACTCTGTGGTCACCGCTACATACATCCCTTCTGGGTGAGTACTGTAGTCTAGACTACTCTGTGGTCACCGCTACATACATCCCTCTGGGTGAGTACTGTAGTCTAGACGACTCTGTGGTCACCGCTACATACATCCCTCTGGGTGAGTACTGTAGTCTAGACTACTCTGTGGTCACCGCTACATACATCCCTCTGGGTGAGTACTGTAGTCTAGACGACTCTGTGGTCACCGCTACATACATCCCTCTGGGTGAGTACTGTAGTCTAGACGACTCTGTGGTCACCGCTACATACATCCCTCTGGGTGAGTACTGTAGTCTAGACTACTCTGTGGTCACCGCTACATACATCCCTCTGGGTGAGTACTGTAGTCTAGACGACTCTGTGGTCACCGCTACATACATCCCTCTGGGTGAGTACTGTAGTCTAGACGACTCTGTGGTCACCGGTCTGGAGAGAGTGGATGTCCACACGTGTGTTCGTCTGTGCATTCATACTGCCATCAGATGGTAATGGAGAAGTACTGCACTTCATACTGCCATCAGATGGTAATGGAGAAGTACTGCACTTCATACTGCCATCAGATGGTAATGGAGAAGTACTGCACTTCATACTGCCATCAGATGGTAATGGAGAAGTACTGCACTTCATACTGCCATCAGATGGTAATGGAGAAGTACTGCACATGTAAACCATTGTAGCTACATCACATCATATCAGAATGGCAGTCTTTGGGTAGTGATAGTCAATAAGAATGTAATGTAATGTCACTGCATCAACAGTGTGTGTCTGTCCTCAGTAAGAGATGTAAAGTCAATAAGATATACAAGGCTTAATAGAGGCTTAAAGAATTTCAGAAAATGTCCATAATACATGCCCTGACGAATTGAGGCTGTTCTGAGGGCAAAAGAGGGGGTGCAACTCAATATTAGGAAGTGTTTTGTACACCAAGTGTATACACACTACCAGTCAAAGGTTTGGACACACCTACTCATTCAAGGGTTTTTATTTTATTTTTGACTATTTTTTACATTGTAGAATAATAGTGAAGACATCAAAACGATGAAATAACACATATGGAATCATGTAGTAACCAAAAAAGTGTTAAACAAATATATAATATATATATTTGAGATTCTTCAAATAGCCACCCTTTGCCTTGATGACAGCTTTGCACACTCTTGGCATTCTCTCAACCTGCTTCATGATGTAGTCACCTGGAATGCATTTAAATTAACAGGTGTGCCTTCTTAAAAGATCATTTGTGGAATTTCTTTCCTTCTTAATGCGTTTGAGCCAATCAGTTGTGTTGTGACAAAGTGGGGGGGGGGGGGGGGGGGGGGGGGGGGGGGTGGTATACAGAAGATAGCCCTATTTGGTAAAAGACCAAGTCCATATTATGGCAAGAACAGCTCAAATAAGCAAAGAGAAATGACAGTCCATCATTAATTTAAAACATGAAGATCAGTCAATATAGAACATTTCAAGAACTTTGAAAGTTTCTTCAAGTGCAGTCGCAAAAACCATCAAGCGCTATGATTAAACTTGCTCTCATGAGGATCGCCACAGGAATGGAAGACCCAGAGTTACCTCTGCTGCAGAGGATAAGTGCATTAGAGTTACCAGCCTCAGAAATTGCAGCCCAAATAAATGCTTAACTGAGTTCAAGTCACAGACACATCTCAACATCAACTGTTCAGAGGGGACTCTGTGAATCAGGCCTTCATGGTCAAATTGCTGCAAAGAAACCACTACTAAAGGACACCAAAAAGAAGAAGAGACCTGCTTGGGCCAAGAAACACGAGCAATAGACATTGGACCGGTGGAAATGTGTCCTTTGGTCTGGAGTCCAAATTTGAGATTTTTGGTTCCAACCGCTGTGTCTTTGTGAGACGTGGTGTGGGTGAATGGATGATCTCCGCATGTGTAGTTCCCACCGTAAAGCATGGAGGAGGAGGTGTTATGGTGTGGGGGTGCTTTGCTGGTGACACTGTCTGTGATTTATTTAGAATTCAAGGCACACTTAACCAGCATGGCTACCACAGCATTCTGCAGCGATACGCCATCCCATCTGGTTTGGGCTTAGTGGGACTATAATTTGTTTTTCAACAGGACAATGACCCAACACACCTCCAGGCTGTGTAATGGCTATTTTACCAAGAAGGAGAGTGATGGAGTGCTGCATCAGATGACCTGGCCTCCACAATCCCCCGACCTCAACCCAATTGAGATGGTTTGGGATGAGTCGGACGGCAGAGTGAAGGAAAAGCAGCCAACAAGTGCTAAGCATATGTGGGAACTCCTTCAAGACTGTTGGAAAAGCATTCCAGGTGAAGCTGGTTGAGAGAATGCCAAGAGTGTGCAAAGCTGTCATCAAGGCAACGGGTGGTTTGTTTAACACTTTTTTGGTTACTACATGATTCCATATGTGTTATTTTATAGTTTTGATGTCTTCACTATTATTCTACAATGTAGAAAAAATATATATTTTTAAAGAAAAACCCTTGAATGACTGGTACTGTATATTATGGACATTTTCTGAAATTACAATGCAATAATTCTACAAAAAAAATCCTATGTCTAACACCTTTAAAGGAAAGGTTCACCCATTTTGAATGTTATGTAGTTTTTGTGCATCTCTGAGAGATGTTCTATCAATTCCCCGGGGTCATTTCATATTTGCATGTGTATCTGAGCTATTGCTGTTCAAGCAGGAAGAGATACAGCTGGTATGATGAGCTTTGCATCATATGTGATATACATCATTCAATATAAACTGTGATGGATGGGTCACTTTGACATAGCCATATGTCCTCGCAAAACTGTGACGTGACGTATGTGTGTGTCTCTGTGTCCGTCTGTGTTTGCGTGCGTGCGTATGTCCTCTCCGCTCCCCCTCTCTGGTCCTCTCCGCTCCTCCTCTCTGGTCCTCTCCGCTCCCCCTCTCTGGTCCTCTCCGCTCCCCCTCTCTGGTCCTCTCCGCTCCCCCTCTCTGGTCCTCTCCGCTCCCCCCTCTCTCGTCCTCTCCGCTCCCCCTCTCTGGTCCTCTCCGCTCCCCCTCTCTGGTCCTCTCCGCTCCCCCTCTCTGGTCCTCTCCGCTCCCCCTCTCTGGTCCTCTCCGCTCCCCCTCTCTGGTCCTCTCCGCTCCCCCTCTCTGGTCCTCTCCACTCCCCCTCTCTGGTCCTCTCCGCTCCCCTTCTCTCTGGTCCTCTCCGCTCCCCCTCTCTGGTCCTCTCCGCTCCCCCTCTCTGGTCCTCTCCGCTCCCCCTCTCTGGGCCTCTCCGCTCCCCCTCTCTGGGCCTCTCCGCTCCCCCTCTCTGGTCCTCTCCGCTCCCCCTCTCTGGTCCTCTCCGCTCCCCCTCTCTGGTCCTCTCCGCTCCCCCTCTCTGGTCCTCTCCGCTCCCCCTCTCCGGTCCTCTCCGCTCCCTCTCTCCGGTCCTCTCCGCTCCCCCTCTCTGGTCCTCTCCGCTCCCCCTCTCTGGTCCTCTCCGCTCCCCTTCTCTCCGGTCCTCTCCGCTCCCCTTCTCTCCAGGTCTGGTGAAGGATGCAGCTCGTCCAGCCTACTGGGTTCCTGACCAGGACATCCGGTGCTGCTGTGAGTGTCAGAGAGACTTCTCCAACCCGCGTCTCTCCATCCACCACTGCAGGGCCTGCGGCCAGGGCGTGTGTGACGACTGCTCCCCTGAACGCAGAGCGGTGCCCTCTAGGGGCTGGGACCACCCGGTGCGCGTCTGTAACACCTGCCGCCAGAAACCTGGGGACCTCTAACAGGAGACAGGGGACAGGGGACAGGGGACAGGAGACAGGGGACAGGGGACAGGGGACAGGAGAGAGAGAGAGAGAGAAGAGAGAGAGAGAGAGAGAGAGGGGAGGAGAGAGAGAGAGAGAGAGAGGAGAAGAGAGAGGAGAGAGAGAGAGAGAGAGAGAGAGAGAAACACATTGGCATCCTATTTCCTATGGGCCCTGGTCTAAAGTAGTGCACTATATATGGAATAGGGTGCCATTTGGGACACAGCCAGAGACAGTCCAGGGTTGTGTGCATTACGTATGAAATTGAAGAAAATGTTCCAAAACGTACTATCTGTACTAGTCCGATAAGAAACACTCATTTTTGTTTTTCGCTTCTAAACGTTTTGCTACGGTGTGCCCTAATGAACACGACCCAGGTTCTACCTAACAGCTGTGGAACTGGAGCGTTTGGAACTCATGGAACACCCCTCTCTCTGTGGCTGCAGTGGTTCAGCCCAGTTTAGAAGGGAATTCTTCTTATTCATTGTGATGTCACCCCGTACGTCAGATGTTCTGACTTGTCCTTAGTTCTTCCGTCCTTACACTACACCTTTCATCCCTTTATCATGTCTATATTAACGTATGAACAGAACTGGCTAGCGGGAGAGAGAGATGAAGAGAGACGGGGGGAGAGAGAGAGAGATATACAGGGAGAGAGAGACGGAGAAAGAGAGAGGACGAGCGAGAAGAGAGAAGGGGGGGAGAGAGAGAGAGGAGAGATATAAAGGGAGAGAGAGACGGAGAGAGAGAGGAGAGAGGAGAGATTGAAGAGAGACGGGGGGAGAGATGAGAGAGGATATACAGGGGAGAGAGAGACGGGAGAGAGAGACAGAGAGACGGGGGGGAGAGAGAGAGAGATATACAGGGAGAGAGAGACGGAGAGAGAGAGAGAGAGAGATGAAGAGAGACGGGGGGAGAGAGAGAGAGATATACAGGGAGAGAGAGACGGAGAGAGAGAGAGAGAGAGATGAAGAGAGACGGGGGGGAGAGAGAGAGAGATATACAGGGAGAGAGAGACGGAGAGAGAGATGAAGAGAGACGGGGGGGAGAGAGAGAGAGATATACAGGGAGAGAGAGACGGAGAGAGAGAGAGAGAGAGATGAAGAGAGACGGGGGGAGAGAGTGAGAGCGAGATATACAGGGAGAGAGAGACGGAGAGAGACGGGGAGAGAGAGATGGGGAGAGACGGGGAGAGAGAGAGAGAGAGAGATATACAGGGAGAGAGAGAAGGAGAGAGAGAGAGAGAGACAGATGGGGAGAGAGAGAGAGAGATATATACAGGGAGAGAGAGGAGAGAGAGAGAGAGAGAGAGAGAGAGATATACAGGGAGAGAGAGAGAGATAGAGAGATGAAGAGAGAGATAATGTGCTTGCTAATAAGCAGAAGTCATTCCTGTATGTAGCATTTTGTCCTGTCAGAACAGTTTATATTAATGAACGCAGAAGAAATCAGAAATCCTTGAATGACAGTCTATCACTAGTCACTAGTGGAGCACCTGCAACTGTACTGTACCTGACAACGATACCTGATGCCACCTGGCTAAGAGGAACTAGGAGAGAACAATACCTGATGCCACCTGGCTAAGAGGAACTAGGAGAGAACAATACCTGATGCCACCTGGCTAAGAGGAACTAGGAGAGAACAATACCTGATGCCACCTGGCTAAGAGGAACTAGGAGAGAACAATACCTGATGCCACCTGGCTAAGAGGCACTAGGAGAGAACAATACCTGATGCCACCTGGCTAAGAGGAACTAGGAGAGAACAATACCTGATGCCACCTGGCTAAGAGGAACCAGGAGAGAACAATACCTGATGCCACCTGTCTAAGAGGACCTAGGAGAGAACAATACCTGATGCCACCTGTCTAAGAGGAACTAGGAGAGAACAATACCTGATGCCACCTGTCTAAGAGGAACTAGGAGAGAACAATACCTGATGCCACCTGGCTAAGAGGAACTAGGAGAGAACAATACCTGATGCCACCTGGCTAAGAGGAACCAGGAGAGAAGAGGAGGTACATCAGAGAAGAAAGACGATCTGGAAGAAGGAAAATATCACTTTGCTCTCGTATTTTCACTTTGGTCCTCATCCTTCTGCGTCACGCTTGTCATGGCTTGTACTCCCTTTCCATCTTTGATCCTTGGCTTGAAGAAGAGAAATCACAGCCCTTAATGTAGCAGCATAGATGCATTCCATGTTTATGATGATTAGGTTAAATAACTACCGATATATTGTTGGAAGCTGAGTGGTTGTATATGTGGATTTAAACACACGATAATAGAATAGCCCTCGTCGATTTGGTTTCATTTGACATATAGGAAAAGTTTTACTATAATGGGGAAAAATAATTGATTTGTTTAGTATAAAATTGCCTCTTTGTTTTTAAACAGTCCACACTACAATACCACTCTCACTGAGTGATGTCATCAGATTGACTGTAGAGAACATTGCTGAAATGGAACCATAGAATCAAATGATGAGAATTAGAACCATTCTAATTCTATGGTGGGAGCTGCTTTCACAGAGTGACTGGCCCGCAACACAGGATGTAGAATATATGGAAGGATATGAACACACTGTGGAGCCTCAAACATAATATACAGAACATTCATAGAGTATAATATCACATATAAAACGATCATCTCCGGCTGTGTAGCAGCCAGCTGTGCTCAATGTGATTAGCTGCAATTATGTAGCCTGGTCCCAGATCTGTTTGTGCTGTCTTGCCTACTCGTATGGGCAACAACCAAAGGAGTTGGCAAGACAGCACAAACAGATCTGGGACCCAGGCTAACAAGTATGGGGTAGGAGCAGAGTAACTGACTAGCATCATGGAATCAGCTTGTAGATAAACTGGAACATTGTAAAGTTCTAGAACCTTCAACAGAACAGTGATCATGATGATTCATCTCAACTGATAAAGGAAACCAGGACAGAATACTGAAGATATCAGACTAAAGATAAATACCGTTATGTTTACTACACCGTGAATGCTTATGTAATAAACTTGACAACCTCAATGTGTGTTTGTTTGTTTGTGTGTGTGTGCGTGTTTGTTTGTTTGTGTGTGTGTGTGTGTGTGTGTGTGTGTGTGTGTGTGTGTGTGCGTGCGCGCGTGCGCGCATGTAAACTGTGTATATGATTGTGATCATAGAAATTGCAGATTGCTTATGTGAGGTTTGGACAATCCATCCCCTTAACCAGAGTATTTTCTTATAATAATTTCAAAAGACACCCATTCAATCACATTGGATCAAATACATTGTTTGAATGATATCCATAACTCAAAAAGTAGTAACCTGAATTTGCATAACTTTTTAAGAGAAGTTAAGTCCTGTAACCTACCAACCATCAGCAGTAAGGTCCTGTAACCTACCAGCCATCAGCAGTAAGGTCCTGTAACCTACTGGCCATCAGCAGTAAGGTCCTGTAACCTACTGGCCATCAGCAGTAAGGTCATGTAACCTACCAGCCATCAGCAGTAAGGTCCTGTAACCTACCGGCCATCAGCAGTAAGGTCCTGTAACCTACCGGCCATCAGCAGTAAGGTCCTGTAACCTACTGGCCATCAGCAGTAAGGTCCTGTAACCTACTGGCCATCAGCAGTAAGGTCCTGTAACCTACTGGCCATCAGCAGTAAGGTCCTGTAACCTACTGGCCATCAGCAGTAAGGTCCTGTAACCTACTGGCCATCAGCAGTAAGGTCCTGTAACCTACTGGCCATCAGCAGTAAGGTCCTGTAACCTACTGGCCATCAGCAGTAAGGTCCTGTAACCTACTGGCCATCAGCAGTAAGGTCCTGTAACCTACCAGCCATCAGCAGTAAGGTCCTGTAACCTACCAGCCATCAGCAGTAAGGTCCTGTAACCTACTGGCCATCAGCAGTAAGGTCCTGTAACCTACTGGCCATCAGCAGTAAGGTCCTGTAACCTACTGGCCATCAGCAGTAAGGTCCTGTAACCTACTGGCCATCAGCAGTAAGGTCCTGTAACCTACTGGCCATCAGCAGTAAGGTCCTGTAACCTACCGGCCATCAACAGTAAGGTCCTGTAACCTACCGGCCATCAGCAGTAAGGTCTTGTAACCTACCAGCCATCAGCAGTAAGGTCCTGTAACCTACCGGCCATCAGCAGTAAGGTCCTGTAACCTACCGGCCATCAGCAGTAAGGTCCTGTAACCTACTGGCCATCAGCAGTAAGGTCCTGTAACCTACTGGCCATCAGCAGTAAGGTCCTGTAACCTACCAACCATCAGCAGTAAGGTCCTGTAACCTACCAGCCATCAGCAGTAAGGTCCTGTAACCTACCAGCCATCAGCAGTAAGGTCCTGTAACCTACTGGCCATCAGCAGTAAGGTCCTGTAACCTACTGGCCATCAGCAGTAAGGTCCTGTAACCTACTGGCCATCAGCAGTAAGGTCCTGTAACCTACTGGCCATCAGCAGTAAGGTCCTGTAACCTACCGGCCATCAGCAGTAAGGTCCTGTAACCTACTGGCCATCAGCAGTAAGGTCCTGTAACCTACCGGCCATCAGCAGTAAGGTCCTGTAACCTACTGGCCATCAGCAGTAAGGTCCTGTAACCTACTGGCCATCAGCAGTAAGGTCCTGTAACCTACCGGCCATCAGCAGTAAGGTCCTGTAACCTACTGGCCATCAGCAGTAAGGTCCTGTAACCTACTGGCCATCAGCAGTAAGGTCCTGTAACCTACCGGCCATCAGCAGTAAGGTCCTGTAACCTACCGGCCATCAGCAGTAAGGTCCTGTAACCTACTGGCCATCAGCAGTAAGGTCCTGTAACCTACTGGCCATCAGCAGTAAGGTCCTGTAACCTACTGGCCATCAGCAGTAAGGTCCTGTAACCTACCAGCCATCAGCAGTAAGGTCCTGTAACCTACTGGCCATCAGCAGTAAGGTCCTGTAACCTACCGGCCATCAGCAGTAAGGTCCTGTAACCTACCGGCCATCAGCAGTAAGGT